TTATTCCCAGTAAAGGTGCACATACAGGTGTATTGGCTCTTCCCCTGAAAAAAGATAAATCTGTCAAATGTCAGCTCCACTCTTCTTCATTTTTTACTTTCAGCACAATTTTTTTCAATAATTGCACAGAAGAAACTATGTGGGTTTTTCTCCCCAACCCCCTCCTTTTCCTCTTCCTTTGATGCCTGCAGGTCAGTGATCAAGTTAATTCCTCTTATGTATGTGGGGTAGAAAGTGAGAGTGAGGCACTGGGGCCTAATCTTCAGCAACTGACACTTCATAGGCATCTGAGTTTGAACCCCTTCATGTCAAATGCATTCTGTGCAGCTGAGTGACTTCTCTTTAGATCTGCCTTAGGAGACTGAGCCCGAGCAAAGAGGCATGTAGTTTAGCAGAATTTAAGTCATGTTCCCTCTGCTCACCATACACGATTCTGTTAAAACTTGCACAGCGCTGAGGATCTGCTCTGACTGGATGTCACCTGAGGGAATAAAGTCATTTATCTAGATTACTTTTTTCCATCCTTTCTCTTGACTTTTAATTCCATAGCTACAGGCAAGTCAGTAAGTCGTTGCTCACACATATTAAATATATTTAATGGGCAAAGACCTGCAAGTGCTGACTACAACTGAGCTCCAGCCAATTTCATTTTTTTCTGAAAGAAGTTGACAATGGATTCATATGTAATTCTATTCCCAAAGAGGAAAAATGTTTCTTTTGTTAGCTATTCACACTTTTTCTTAGTCCTTTGTAGTCTGACCACTTAACTTTGATACATTTGAAACTTCTGTTCAATGTTTTGCTGAGACAGAAGAGAAGAAACCTTACCAAAAAAGAAAGAAAGAAAAGGCAACAACACAGTGGTTGGAGGGGGATCCAGTTGCATACTCAACACAGCTGCATGGAGCATTTGAAAGTCACTCCTGGAGGGCAGGGAGTTCCCTCTTGGGAACAGACTTCTGCCCTAGAACATGTTTTAAAAGTGAGGTGTGTTTCTTACAATAAAAATTCATCTTTGGGAATTAAAGATGTTTTTAATGATCATTTTCTAAATAACTTCACATCTCTGGTAAGACCAATGAGAATAAAATATGCTTTAACAAATTAGTGTAAATTGAATATAAAATGAAAACCAGGAGAGAGAATTAATAATGGCCTGAACCAAGCAGCTGGATCAATACCCTGCCATCTTTTCCCAGACCCAAGCCATGTTCGCAGTAAGAGGCCTAGGCTGTCCACACTGGGCCATCCAGAGAGCAGAGCTGAGCCGCACTCTTTAACTGTTAATAGGTGCAGCACAACTTTCCCATTAGTTGCCAAGAAGAAACTCTGCTGGGGACAATGAAGCTAAGAAAAGCCAGGTGGTTGATTAAATAAAGGTCTTAAGCTATAGTTTAGCATTTGATCAACCTCAATTTGGTTTTGTCAAGTTTGGTGTTAATTTTTATACCTTAGGTAAATCCTATGAATTGGATGTCATTTGTACGTCCATGAAGTCTGTGTCACAGTAATGCCTCGCAGATGAGGGAACACTTGGCCAAGGTGCCTGTGAACAACCAAATGGGTCAAGTCATGTGAACCCAACACAGTGATTCTCCATAATGGATCCCACTGACCTCTCCTAAATGACATTATATTTTGTTGTGGATCAGAACAGCAGGTGACACTTTTCTCTGACTCAGCAGAGCAGCACTGGAAGCATGAAAGTAAATGTTTCCCTGCCCAGTTGTTAGAAGTTAACCTGCCTTCTTTATTTCTTCTGGTATATGTAGATGGATCCCGAATACCGCGTGAGAAAATTCTTGGCCCTCTTAAGAGAAGAAGGAGCGTAAGTACACAGCACTTTAGAGTGCCAAACAAACAGTACCACTTAAATTCCAGTGCCTACCCTAAGAATTGCATACAGTGCATACAAATTTGACAGTTTCTTTTCTAGTTAATTTTGTTTCCATTTATTAGATTCTTCCCTGTGTTGTAGATCTGAGAGACCAAGCAAGGAAGTTGATTGTTCTGTTGGTTTGCTCTCCCTGTCCTGCTTCGCAAAACTTCCTTGTCTCAGTGCAGGAAAAAACTTGATGGTACATATTTATTGGAACCTGCTTTTAAATGCATGGAGCTATGGCCATTTTCTTTTGTAAAGTGCCCATTGAACTGCAAATGCTTAGTGGAAAATGTAGAGGAAACATTAAGTTTTTAGTGATTGTATGATGAATACCTTTTTTCAAATGCTCATGGGTTTTTTTTTTTTTGGGGGGGGGCGATATTTTCTTTTGCAGTAGCCCCCTTGACTTTGATTGAAAATGGACTGTTTACAACACACAGTGACCAAGGGAAGTGACCAAAGTGAAGATGACCTGTGATCTTCACTCTTTGTGCTACAGATACCAGACAAAGTGAAATGTTCTCCACCTTCAACACGTGCTCGCTCTGCATGTTAGTGCAATACAGCTCCCTTCCTCGTGCTCACTGAGATGTGCTAGTGTTTTGTGGAAGGGGTGAACTGCTTTAGAATGCTGTGCTCTCCTTTCCATGCAGGCTAAGATGGTTCCTTCTTACTCAGAATGTATGCATAGGACACACTATACCTGTACACCCTGTACCACCCCAAAACTCTAGTAAATGTAATGAGTGATGCTGCAAGGCAACACTTGGCCTGCAGTGATCCCCTTCCAGCTCCCCTGTGCTAACACTAAAGGCAATTGACGATTGGCTTAAAGGCTCTCTCACATAACAGGTTTACCTTTGCCTGAATAAACAGGGCTTTGAATTTCTAAGATGCTATTTTCAATCATTTTCAGAGATGTTTCCAAGTTGCAATCAAGAGATCTTTTTTGATAGAAAGTCAAATTATTACTATTAGCTGTGATGTCCCCTGAATGTAATTAATTTGCTTTGTGGTAAGAGATATGCTAATCATTACCACTTGGTAGATGTTGAAAACTTAGGAAAGATATGTATGGAAATATGTACACCCCTAAACAGAAAGGAGGTATTAAAATAATGTAATTTACAAACCTCTCAGCATTAATTAGTGTCCAACTATAAGTGGGTCAGTTCCTTAGGATAATATGAAAGGCTTGTTTAGTATTTTTTCTTTTTTCTTTAGCCTAATGATTTACTTAGAATTTCTCCTTCCTGTATTTTAAATGATCTGTACTATAAACAAAACACTATTAGAAAAATTAGCCACCTCCTAACCCTTTCCCCTCAGTCCTTGAATGTCCATTCCAATGTGTGGAACACAGTTCCTTTGCCCTCCACACTGCTTTCAAAGGGAAGGGGATCTCATTGAGTCCTTTGAGGGTGGTTTTTCTTATCTCTGAGTTAGAAGGAATTTAATTAGGTCATCGTACATGGGGATGAGGCTTACGAAGCATGCCACTCTCCCTACTGCTGCTTAAAATGTGAGGACAGCCATCAGAAGCCATCCTGAGGCACTTGGGTATGGCTCTGTCATCTGTTCCCATGGTAGAAGGCAAATCATCTCCAAATCTCACTGTTTGTATACTTTTGTTTTGGGTTTTCATCCTTGGCTTATTTTGTGGCTTTTAAGACAGTGGATCATATTGTGAAAATCTGTGATTCCTGGTGGCCAGTATCCTGGATCCCCTACCTGTTTACTGTCTTGCCTCACTCCTCCTCCCATGAAGCAGCACACTTCGTATTAACTTATGTCTCTTGTTAAATGAGGTTAATGTCTTTGTGTTTTGTTCAAAACTATATTGAAAAAGATAAATATTATATTGTTTAATGCAAATTGAAGGAATGCAATAAAGAATAAGTATACTGAAAGTGTTGTGTAAACCAGTATTTTGTACAAATGACATAGATCACTGATGAGAATGTTTGAGCTCAGAAAAGCCCCCATTTTACAACCAGCCTAGAAACTTGTTTCTATTTAAAAATCTCTTTATTTAGAAAGTATAATTATTTTAAAAGAAAAGCAGATCATTAGCATATCAAAAATGCTAATATATAGCAAAATCTTTATACTTATGCTTGATACTTATTTTACCTTATTAAAAAACTGATGTACTAAAGCTATAAACTAGGTTAATAAGCAGAGAGGGAAGTCGTTTCTCAACTTCCTATGAAATGCACAAACCTAGGAACTGTTAACACTCTCAGATTTCTTCACGTGGTTCATTTTGGGTCTTTCATAGTTTTTGCATTTTTCTGCACTATGAGATCTCTTAGCCTGAACCCTTATCCATGGCAGTGACACAAGTTAGGGCCAAAGGCAACCCAGAAAATCAGCAAGGCTCTATGGGGAAGAGGCCATCTTCACAACTTCATCTTTAACAGCAGGGTTAGCTCCCCAGGAGTCTGGAAGGAGGTCCCTGAGGCCAGCCTAGTCCCAACCTTACCTTGAGGTAGGTTTTGGAAGCTCTCTCAATATGCTGGGCAGCAGAGCACATAAGCATACAGCATGGCCTAGTGCTAAACCACTGGGGACTCTTATCCACCTGCTTCCATAGTTCATCATCTGTGCATGAACTTAACTGGCTATTGCTCTGTCAGAAGATGTGATTAAAATCTCAAAGAAGAGGTTACTTTATACCTTTACTGAGACACTTTTTCATGTAACTCAGAAAACTTGTGTAATTGTAGTTAATACCTAAAATATGTTTCGCTCTAAGGCTATCTTTTCATAGCCTAAAAATGAATAGCTTCCCCTTTAAGTTTCAGCTACACATTCACAAAATGAAGGAGTAGATTCAAATGTGTATAATAATCAAACTGATCAACAGACTTGCAGAGGCATTGAGTCAGCTATAAACATCCACCCAGCCCAAACACAGAAGCAAAGGCAGGATTTCGTTTTCCTTGCCTGGCAACAGCCGCTTCAAAGAAGTGACTAGGCAAGGTGTGTTTGAGAGTTCAAAAAAGCATGTAAATTTCAGACGTTATTGCAAAATGATCCAAAGTTTCTCATCAGCTGGCAAGCCATGCCGAGACTGGATCCCAGAGATGAGCCCACAAGGGTGTGTGCTGTGCGGACACCATGGCATTAAGATGCAGAGATAGCGCCCGTGATCGGCAAGAATCCCAAAGAGGTGAGGACAGTATTTGCAAGGAGAACTCACATTTGAGACTTTCCCAACACAAACAATCTCACTATTTTGGGAGTAAGATTCGTGGTAAGATAACTACCACCTAGAATGTTCTGTTAAGCTAGAAGTACGTGATAGCAATGGGGCAGCCATACTTTTACTGAGCCGATTCCCCTTGTGTATGTAGGTAGACACGCCATACACATACATTAGTATGTGTCAGTATACTCTGGACCACATGGAGGACACCAGTAGGTACACCTATAATAATCTCACCATCACATTCCCCCTTGCTTTGCTGCTTTTTCCTTACCTTCTTTCCTTGTGCATTTACTTGCAACTCCTCCTTGCCTCTCTCTCTCTCTCTCTCTCTCTCTCTCTCTCTCTCTCTCTCTCTCTCTCACACACACACACACACACACACACACACACACTTTCCTCCTATTCATAAAGTACTGCTTTGAAAGATAACTGAGGTCCTGAGTTCAAACTCCCATACCATCAAAAAGAAAAGATATCTCCTCATTACATTGTCTCTTTTCTTCTCTTGGATTTTAAAACTTCTTATTTTTCACTGTTTTTAAGTATTCATGCTATGAAAAAAGTAATGTTCAAGCACAGCTATAAACTCTTCTCTCTAATCATAGTATAGGATAATCATAGGATTCCATGTGGCCTTAGTAAGTATGAGTAGGTATCATTTCAATATTTGGCAATCTTAGTAGGTTTTAAAAAAGTACCCAAAATGTTGGGATAGAGGAGAATTGGCTTTATGTAAAAGCAAAATAAAAGATGGCTAGCCCTATAAAATGTAGAGATCATCTTTTACTTATCCAATTTCATACAGCTGAAACATTTTTGCAATTTGAGGTTTTCAGGAGCTAAAAGACACATCAAAATCAAGCTCATGGATTTCTAGTGCATATTCCTAATCTAAGAGTTCTAATGGTAGGTTTGGTACAAGCAGTCCATCTCCATTGCCCGAGGTAGGCTACTTTATTTTCTTGCTTTTATTTTTCTATGATTCAAAGTTAAGTAACATTTGTTCCTAATAGAGGTAGGTCAGGAGAAAGAGAAAACACTTTACCTGTTCTGAAAAGCAGCGTGCAAAGTAAACTGAAGGCAGTATTTTTCAAGTAGATCTGAGAACTAAAGGACTGTGTACTGCCATAAGACTGAGTTACAGTACCTCCTCGTTGAAGGTTTCAGGTGAGCTTCAGATGAGTCTTTCTGAAACATCAGCCAAGGAGAGAATGCCCTCCCCAAGCATGCCCACTGGCAGGTCCTTCTGCCCTCAGGTGTCCCTTGTTCCAGACCACCCAGAACCTAGGACACACCGTTCTTGCCAACCTCTTCTATAACTCAGCTCTTGCCTGGAGCTGGCTGGGGAGGAGCCATTTTTGCTCCAGTTTCGTTTTCAATAGAGCAAATCCTCTTTCCTCAACAAATGGGAGTTGAAACATGGTAAGGAGGGAATTAAGGCACTGGCCAGCTCTATGGTCTGCTGGCCTTGGGCCACATCTTTTAGGAATATCAGGAATATTAATGTATATGTTGAATGTGTTCAAATCTATGAAATGAATTACTGTCTAAACTGATGGTTTCTAAAACTGGAAATTCCTTGTTAGAAGTTGACTTAGAACAAAGTAATGCTATAAGGAAGTCCTATAGTAAATTAGACCTTCTGTCTATGACATCACAGATGATCTTACTTAAGAGTATAGAGGAAATGACCTTCATTTGGTCATTTAATTGGCTGAGGCCACCACATTCAGAATCAGATATTCTTGACCTGAACATGAATCTGGAAACCACACAGGGTACAATATATGCATTTTGTTTGTTTGCCTTCTCTTTAATGACTTAACAGAAAAAAACTGCATGATGAAATATATTTTCTCCAAATATATATATATATTTATATAATATATAATCTTAGTTAACTCAAAGGTATATACATTGTATAATAAATAATATTTATAAAAAGAGACTTTTTGAATATAAAATCAAAAAGAACAACTTCTACAACTTTTTACAAAACTTTGGATACAGCAGGTTGGTAGGAAATTTCCGTTGGATACTATCACCTGACTACAGCGAGAATAATTACAATGCACTCATGTACTATTATTAATAATTACTTGTCAGCTACTTGAATATGCCCCAGAAACATGACTTTATCACTTTTAATATAGAATACATAGATATGAAAAGACTTTTAAAATTTGTATCCATTCCGCTGAAGTATTCTCACATAAAGCAAGCATTATCTGGTTGACATGATTTAAAACTCTGCAGTCTAAGATGAGATGGGAGGGGAAATTTGGGACACTATAGAGGGTGGGATGTATTCCTTTAGCAGGGCTTGTGGCCAGAGGTTTCAGAGTGCAGGCAGGCTCCCAGATGACAGTTTGGCAAGCCGCCTGCACAAACCAGGAGATGACAAACCTGGTGTCTTAAGTCAGGGTTATACCCCAGACAGAAGGGGAAAAAAGGACAAATCTTTGTTCTGCTGTGTTCCCCATTGTATCTCTTTCTCAGTCTCCTTAAGACAAGTTGTGGGGCTGACCTGCACTGTCAAACCCATCCACCCCCATCTGGCTCCCTCAGGACACCCTGCAGGTCCAAAGTGCAACCAGAACAGGGCTAGGAGTTGCTTGCCCCCTTTGAACATCTAACCCAGCCCTGGGGAACTGCAAGGATCTGTTTATCTCACATGCAGGTGAAGGGGGCAGCTGTGTTTCTATTTTCTCCCCCAGAAGAAAAGGATGCAGGAAGACCTGTCCTTACTGGAGTGGAAACAGGGATAATTTTCACTCTCCTTGTCCACTAGTTACAAAATTGGAATTGCTGGGATAGATGGATGCGCTCTCTCGCTCTCTCTCTCTCTAATTTATTCTAAGGTGACTGACCTAGAGCCCCACTGCTCTACCTAGAGTTGTTTCTATGGAGAATCTGCAGGTGAGCAGGGCCAGTGTCCAAAGACATCATTTCTTCCTGTAGGCAGCCACTGGAGTTGGAGAAGACTGAACCCATACCTATCCTATTTACAATGAGAACATGTTGCACTAATGGTGCAAACTAAAGAATGATGGAAAATGATTTTGAGATCTGACTGCCTTGTGCAGGCAGTGTTATAGAGAAAGTGAGACTGAGAAGAACTCGGCTGCTCTTCAAACAGCCTACCAGGCCATAACTCCTAGTTCTTCAAAACTCAAATTCCTCTTCCAACAATCACCCAGGGCATCCCCACCGCACCTATGGCTTTTGTCAGAATGGGAATGTGTATCCAGTCTGAATGGGAATAGAGGGAGAAAAGGAGATGTGGGGCTTTGTCCTGCTTTACAACTCCCACCTCAGAGGCATGTTGGAATGACACTGGCAGAAGCAGCTTGGAGACAGACTTACCCGCGCTCGTGTCTTAGGCCAGGCCAAGAGCTCACATTAGCCCAGCCTGTTCTGTTGGAGTAGATTTTTTTTTTTAATTTTTATTTTCTTTAACATGTGCAAAGGTAAGCTTCAGGTCTGTCCTAACAGACTCTGGAGAACTAAAAAGAAAGCCCCTCTTTAAAAGCCACACACCATCCAGAGCAGGGTGAGAAACAGGATGAAAGAGGAGGAGCACCTCCTGGCAGAGGCCGCCTGGGTCCAGGTCATTTACCACATGCAGCTGGCAACAGTCCGTGCTCCTCGCTGGCTGGTGCCAAGGGCTGGCCCAGCTCTAGGTCCTGCTTCCCATGGGACTTCGGTGAATCCGCCCAGCTGCACACTTTACCCCTTCCCAGTGCCCTTTGGGAAAATAAACAAGAAGAATCAGAATCCTAGTTCCTCTCCCAAAGAGACCACTCATTGGGGTACAAAGATGAGAAATTGCTGACAGATGACCTCGTCATTCCTCCTGCACCTAGAAGCCATGGCGCCCATGTGTCTTCTCCATCCTCTCCCCTAACTTCAAAGCCTGCCAGAGAGGGAAGGCATGTGATCTGTGGAAATAAGGGGCTTGAATCCACAGAAATCCTACCTCCCCACATCCAGCTGAGAGTCTCAGGCAGTAGGAAGCCCATGGCAGGTAACCTCTCCAATGCAGGAATTCACCCTGTGTAGACACAGGGAGAAACCTGCCAATGTGAGCAGTCAGTCACAACCTCAAGTGGACTTCTGAGCTGGGCTAGTGCCAGGTATGCACTGTCTTTCTGTGCGGCACCAGGCAGCTTGACGTGAGCTGTCCAAATGGGAGGTGTCTATTTAATTATGAATAGTTCCTCCGCTTGGAGCCCCACTGGGCCCATTTTCTCATATGTGCAGTCCTAACTCACTGAACTTGAGGCACAAAGCCATCTCGCAGGCATCCCCAGGGAACTCAGCTTTGGGGGCTGAGAACCAGCCCAAGACTTTTACGGAGGCCAGAACAGGCACAGCAAGATTGCCTCAATATGCCCAAGGTCCCACTGCAGATTAGTGACAGGCCCAGGACTTGGGGCTGGCCAGTCAGCTTTTGCTTTTGAAGAAGCAACAGAGCCAGATTCACTCAGTAAGTTGCTTCCATACAGAAGGGCTTGGGGCTATAAGCTACACGGACATGGCATCTTGAGACTACAACTGTGTAGCACTTTATACAACGCTGGGAAAATACCAATTGTCTATTTCAGAAATGCAGAGTAAAGAGGACTGCTTTTTTCTTTATTCTTTTTCTTTCTGTGGTGTAAGGGATTAAATCCGGGGCTTTCCACATGCTAGGCAAAAGCTCTACCACCAAGCCACACCCCTGATTCTTCATAGGGTCAGTATTAGTACAGGGGCTGGAGCTGGGGGGTGGCATCTGGACACTGAGAGCCAACCCAGCACCTCCTTCCCTGCCCAGCAGATCTCACTGCCCACAAGGGGCAGAATCAGAGCCATAGGGTCTATATCTGACATACTATGCCACCTGGAGCCACTGGTAGAGGGAGCTGCTGCTGCTGTTGCTGCAGCGGCCTCTGCATGACCCACACAGGGATCTGACTTCCCTCAATTATTAAGTTGGTGTGCCCATCTGTGAAATTGGCAGGCTAGACAAAATGTGCTCTCCATCAATATTCTAAACTGCATTCTCGTAGCCCCTTCTCAAGTCTTGCTTGATACTGGGGAATCAGAGAAAGGTGAAGGTGGCCACTGTGTTTTTCAAACATTCCTTCTACATTAACATGCCATGGTTGGCCTGGGAATTCTCTTACTCAGTGACTCTTCTCCTACCCTTTCAAAAAGTAGTGACTGGGACTATCAAAGTAATGAAGCTAGTTCTTTGCACAGTGATTGCCCTGTACCACGACTCTCTAGTGGTATTTATCACACTTCCTGTTAGTGCTATATTTGGAGAAAGAAGCATTTGTATCTATTAGCTAACTCAAGCCTCCTAAAAATTCGGCAGACTCCCATTTCACCAGCACTGCATAAATGAGGAAACTGGGGTTCCCAGGTTCAACAGCTGGCAAGTGGTGGTGCTGAAGCCCCCACCTGTCCTCTTCCCTCCCACACTGTTTTATCCTGACATGGAGAAAGGTCATACCTCCCTACTCAATGCCTTTCTGGACTCTCTCCCTGCCAAGACATGCTCCATCACCAAGAGGCTTTCTAGATGGGCTGGGAACGAGGAGGCTTCCTAGGTGGGCTGTCTCAATGATGACATATACCTCCCAGCCCCACAACCACTGTGCACCACTAACTCTCAGGTACTGAACGCAGGGTGCTCTCTCTAATCCTGCCCCAGCCAGCTGTGACCCAGCACGGGGGCGCTTTTCAGTTAACCTCAGTGTTCCTTCACATGCTTTTTGCAGCACCTCTGGGGAGGGCTCACAGATAAGGAAGTGGGTCTATAAAGAACAGCTTGTCTGGGTCATACAGTTGACTAGTGGGAGAAGCTGAACCAGAACTGGACATAATTCCAAAACCCATGCTCAAGTCTCTGCACACTGGACCCCTTCTCAGGGGAGAGGAGAGGAAGCCTGAAGTTCCAGGACTAATATACATCTAGGCTGACCTACCCTGGGGTCCTGTGGACCAGGCCACAGCACACTCATGCAGGCCACCTCTGAGAAGCTTGGGAACATAATCCACCAGCCTTTGATGCTTTGACTACTCATCATAGTGACTCTGAACTTGAATCCCTCCTCCTCCCCATCACCATCCATAAACTTGGTGAGAGTGCTCCCTGTTCCACCCAAACCTCAGATCTGCTCCCCCCACCCACCTCCCTGAGGTTCAAGAATTTCTGTTTGTGCCCTCTGGCTTGAAGGTAGATGCAAAATGACTCTGCCCCAGGGTTAGAAGAGACTTTTCAGCCCACCATTGCAGGTATTTTAACGCCTGGTTTGAACTAAGGAAACTGAGGCCCCAGAAGTAAAGAACAGGAAGTTAGAGACATCATTGGGACCAGACATCAATTCTCACAGTTTCCAGCCCCAGTATTTCCTCCAGCTCCACAGGTGTGAATCTAATCAGGCTCATAATGTACTAATGTCCATAAGAAGTTGAATCAATTGCTGTGACTTATGTGTGCCCATTTGGTTAGTATCTGTGCTTGGTGTAATCCACCAGGTCATTGCCCAAGAACCATTCCCACCAAAGCTTGGGAAACATGACTTCCTATTTTGGCTGGGGGAGCTTGTGTGTCTTGGCTGGCTTACATTTTAAATAGGGGCTGGTTAAGAGCCTGCACCTCCACCCTGCAGCCTACCTGGCTCCCTACTTGCAGGTATGCACATCGTAGATACGGATGCACTCCTGGCAGCTGACATAGCAGCACCAGTGAAAGATGCAGTGGCATTTCTCCTTCCGCTTCTCCGTCCTCGTGTTGTGGCCACGGCCACAACAAAGCAGATCACAGCCATCGATGCCATGGGAGGTGACATTGCAAGTCCGGTCCCTGGTGCCAAAGGAGCCTGTCTCTGGGTTGGGCTCACAGAAGTTGGGAGAGTTCTCATAGTAGACCAGGTCCCTTTCAGTGGGAGGCTTGAAGAGTGCATACTTGGCCCGGAGTGTCTCCACCCATCCTCGGGACTCCCGGTGCTTCTCCACCACCATCTCCGAGGCGCTGTCATACTTGTCCTTAAGGAAGTCGCCAATGGCGCGGAAGTCAGGCTGGGCCCACCAGCAAGTCTTCACCTCGCAGCTGCCAGACAGCCCATGGCACTTACACTTGAGGTGCATGTGGTCCAGGATGGTCTGGGGAAAAGAAGCAGTAGCTGGTCCCCGACTGGCCCCAGCTCGGAACACCTTCCCACTCTGCCCTACTTCCAGCCCCCATCCCTCCAGCCTTTTCTATTCCTGTGTCAGGAATAAAATAGATGGGGACTAAAGAATGGCAACCAAATTTCCCCCTTTACACCCCAACCATTGGCAGACATCACGTTCATTTCTCAACGTGGGAGCAAATGACTGTTAACCCCCATTTAAGGCTGGGAGCTTAAGTAATTTGTCAGAGGTCCCACAACCATAGGAAGAGGTAGAGGTTGAATTCAAAGCCAGGTCCCTCGAACTTCACAATCTTACACCTTACACAGCCAGTCAAAGTACTTACGATGGGTTGGAGCTACCTGTTCGTATAGGGTGGACGTTCTTACAGATGCATTCTCTACAAAGACCAGGAATAACCCAAGTTGGAAACCGGGTGTAGGGAGGGTGACTGACTGCAGTGTGAAGGGAATCAAGCCTGGCTAAAGGGTAAAGGGACCCAGATGTAGAGGGCCTCTGAAGGGGGCAGGGCAGGGGTCCAGGGTGGGCTCCCAGCAGGATTGGGGTGAGAGCAGCCCAGGCTTACCGTACGTCCTGCCTCGTTGTTGTGCTTGTTCATGGCGGAGCGCGCATCTGGCCTGTTCTCCCGCGCATCAGCAAACTCCCGGGACACCAGCACCCCGAAGTCCGCGTCCTCACTGCAGCCTCCCCACTTCCAGCCTTCACCGGGTGGTCCCTTGTGGTGCGAATCGCAGCCGCAGATCGTGGAGGTTCCCTCCGCACAGGAGCGCGTGACCGCGAAGGCCACACCGGCAGAGGCGATGGCATGCACGAAGGCTGACTCGCGGGTGGCTGCGGGGAGGGTGCGGAGGCAGCGCTCAGGCCTGAGCCTGGAACGCACCAGCCTTGCCTCCACCTCCCCGGGCAGCTCAAGGGTTCACCAGCCCGGAGGTAAGAGGGAGAAGGAACCAGGAGCCCTCGGGAGCCTCTTTAGCTGATCCAGGCCCTGGTAGGCACCCCCAACATAAGGATGAGTAAGGTGAGGTCCAGGACCCCAAATGCTGCTACAGTTCCAAAGAGCAAACAGCGGTGGAAGCCGGTAGGTCACACTTGTAATCCTACCTAGCTACTTGGGAGGCTGAGAACGGGAGAATCTCAGTTCGTGGCCAGCTCAGGCAAATAGTTCACAAAACCCCATGCAAAATAACCCAAGCAAAATGGACTGGAGATGTGGCTCAAGCGGTGGAGAGCCTGCTTTGCAACCACTAAGCCCTGAATCCCAGTCCCATCAAAAGGGGGTGGGGAAGAAGTGGGGAGGTCCCTGCCCTGCACCCTCCTAAACTCTGGGGACCCCAGCACAGTCCTGAGGCTCCACTTTGAAGACAGCTTAAGGTCTGTGGAGAGGGAGCCTGAGAATCTACAGCCTAACTGTACTAATTCACCATTCCTCCACCTGGATGCGCTTCCACAGACTCTCCTTTTCTGAGCTCGGTCACCCTCTCTGTAAAATGGGTACAGCTTCTCCCTGCCACTGGAGTTTCGGCCCAGGAGACGCCAGTGCCTCTGGGTTCCCCTCCCCATGCTGCGTCCCTCCACCACCCCCAGCAAGGTTTTGAACTGAGGAGGACAAGCCCCTCTCCAAAGGACCTGGGGGAGATCCTTAGAGGTGTCCCCCAACCCCCAACCTCATTACAACGGGAGCCATCTCCGAATGCTGGGGATGCACAGATGCTGGGCTTCGTGTGCTTGATTAGGGAGGCAGAGGCCTGCGAGATCTGCAACCCAACAGGCGAACACCCCAGAGCGGGAAGGTAACGCGCAAACAGGTGGCACGATCCCGCCGAGGAGCCAGGACACCCAGCACCTGTCCTGAGTCGTGGCAGGGGTCCGCAGGGAGGAGGAAGAAGACCTCGTAGCTACTGCAGCCTTTCTTTGAGGCCCCGACGCCCTCATGGCCACCTGCACAGCAGGATCCACCCCAGCCTGGCGGGGAGCGCGGAGCGGGGGCTCGCGCGCGGGAGCCAGCGCGGTACGGCGGGCTGCGGACCGGGTGGCCGCCGCCTGGGGCTCGGCGCCGGGGTCGCCCAGCTCTCCTCGCTCGCCCCATGCCACCCCTGCGGCCCTCGGCGCCCGGAGGGAGGGGGGTGCAGGACGAGCTCGCGGGCGGGCGCCCTCGCTTCCGGCGGCCTCTCGCGGTGACGGCGGCGCCCGACCCGGCCGCGCTCGGTTCCCAGCCCCGGGGACGCGGGGGCGGCGGGGGCGGGGCGGGGATTAGCCTGGGAGCGGCGCTGACAGCCCCGCTGTGCCGGTCCCCGTCCGGCGGGGCCCGCTGGGCCGCTCAATCCGCCTTTGTTCGCGCGGTGTCACACCGCATTACCCGCATAATGCGGCCGCCGGGCCCGGGCCGCCGGGCCGGCCGCCACCGCGTAGCAACGGGCGGCTCCCGCGGCCGGGCCGCGCCCCCAGCCCCGGCGCCGGGCCGCGCAATCCCATTGAGGCGGCGCCCCCCGCCCCCGCGCCGCGCCGCGCCGAATGGCCAGAGGGCGTGTGAATGGCGCGGCGGCCGCAGCGGGCGCGGGCCGGGGACGCGGCGGGGGGCGGCGCTCGCGCCCTCTGCACGCCGCGGGGGACCGCGGCCTCGGCTCGCCTCGCCGCCGCCTGCGCTCCGCCGTCGCGCCCTCGTCCCTTCCGGCTGCCCACCCTGCGCCCCCTCCCGGACAGCTCCTCGGCGCCCAGGCCGCCCCTCCGGGAAGGCCCATCCTCCGGGGAGCTGAACCCTCCGAGCCCGGGTGCAAACGTGGGATCCCCGGCAGCGCGCGGGGCGCGTGGGCTGCGTGGGCGCCTTCCAGACCCTCACCTCCCAGTTTCATCGAATTCCCAGTGTCTCTAAGCCACACTCCCTGCCCCGGCCAACACAAACCCGCCCTTTTGCGATTTAGGGACGCAAACATGTGGCCCAACCTAAGGCGGGGATTTAAAACGTTAAACACCTTGGGAGCTGAATGCGCTCAAGTCCCGATTCTCGCTGCTTATGTCAGGGTGGGAAGAGCGATCAGAAAGGTTGTCTTGCTTTGGCGGTTTGATTAAGCGCTACCTGGCCAGAGGTGGGGCGCCGGAAGGTGGGGAGACTGATAAGCCTGCGAGATCGGGTTTGCAATGCGAGCCGCCGCCACTTGGCCCCAATTAGAGGCCAAACCTTTTATGTAAACAAGGAATAATTAGCTTTGGTAATAGAAGCGTAAATAGAATCATCATCCATTGATTTGCTAATTGCCCTCCTGTCCCATGGACAATAGCCAGCCTTTTGCCTGTGCACCTGAAGCACAGGTAAAGAAAGGGGGATTGCACGCTAAAATGGGGGTAGTGGACTCCCCGCTCCTAAACCCGTCCCACGCACCCCAACTGGTGCTTAGATTCCTATTCTTTCTGTCTGTAAATGCAGCTCCTAATCAATTCTCTCTTCTAAAGGAGGAAAGCCAGGCTCCCCAGTTGGGATGGCAAAGCTCCAGTGAAGGCCACTGCAGCTAGAGCCATTAAATTCCTAGACACTGCACTTCTTCCAAGAGTTGTCCTTGTCCAGAACCCTTAAGCCCCCAAATTTCCTTCCTGGGAAATTTCATTCCTGCCCCACCCTCACCACCACAATCGCCAAGTTCAAATCAAATTGTGTGATTTTACTCCACTTAAGGCACAGTCACTTAGACTACCAGGTTGCAAGATGGTTGGAAAGTTAGCCCAGAGACCAGTGTGCCCAACAGAGTTCATGGGCATATCCAGCTTGCAAGCAATGGGGACCCACAGAGACGCTCAAGGGACCTTTGGGGACAATACAATGCTGCCAGAACCTGATCACAGTTCCTGCAGACTTTCCAAGTAGGAAGGACCTAGGGCTGTCAATGCCCCATCTCCACACCAAAGCAGTATTTGCAAAGCACTTAACACAGCTTTGGGGAAATGCTGCAAATGTCCACATCAAGCCTGGTCTGGGTGTGCCAGCCAGGAAGGAAGGCCATGGGTTCCTTGGTGCCTGTGCTCAAATCCCAGGACACCTCAGGGCTGCCTATCCACCAGCAAAAGTGTGGCAGCCATGGAGACAGCCCTGTCTATCTACAGGGGGACCTCGCCAACTTTCCATGAAGGCCACTGGTCATCACCAACTTTATCATCCTCCGGGAGGAGTGGGGAAAACATGGGGGCACCCTGGACTCAAAGCGTCGTGGGATGGAAGGGCACAGGATCCTAATGTCCTCCCCCACCCTGACCCTCAGCCACCTCCCACTTAGCCCTGGGTACCTTTGTCCAGGACGGGCCCAAAGATGGCCAAGCTATCATCTATGGTGGTGCAGTTCCAGCGGCGGCCCCGGAACTGGTGCTGGCACTCCTGGATGCCCAGCTTCACGCCCTCGGCCACACTGGGCATGATCTCGATGTAATTTCGGCAGAAGCGCAGTTGCTTGGGGACCAGGCCTGGGATGGAGCCGCAGAGCAGGGGCTGTGAGCCCAAAGATGTGTACTGCTGGCCCAGGGCCAGGGACCTGTGGGCAGACAGAGGGAGGTGACACTAGGGGCACAAAGCATAGGGCCCAGCATGGGTATCATTCTTCATGAAGGTGAGGAATGGAGGATCTGACCCATGACCCTGAAAAGGCTGGCACCTGCATGTGTTGCCTTTAACCTCCTGGGGAACACAGTGCCCCCAAAAGGGCAGAGCTCTGGTCTAGGCCTTGTCCACATCCTAGCATGGGCGCATCAGGAGGATGGGGACCAGCAGAACTTCTCATGGGGACCCTTACGGACAATGCAATGCTATGGAATGACCATTGGACGGGAACAATGGAATTTGGGATTCAGATCAAGTCCTTTCCAGACTCTGTTCCCAAGGGTCATTGAAGAGCTCCGGCTGGCCAATCTCTCAGGGCGTCCAGGATTTGGGGTCATGTGGAGACTTCCAGTGATTATGGAAAGGAATCCAAACCTAAAGGCAGGAAAGCAGCAGAGGCTAGTTTGACCCCAGCCCCATCCCAGAAAAATCAGAGACACCTCAATCCCAGGGAGGGAGCTTGCACACGTGTGTGCATGATCACACATATGCTGCCATTCAGTGTCCCCCAGCCTCTTCCCCAGGATGCTGCATGCTCAGTCAAGAGCCTGCCCTTGTCCCTCCAGGAAGTTGATGGCACGAAGTTCTCTGTCCTCCAGCCATACAGTTCACTCGAAGTTTCTAAGGTGCCACCTCTCCTCACCAGAGATCAGAGCTCAGTTTTGTTTCAAGATAAGTTTAGCACAGGGTGAGGAGTGAGGAGACCTCAGCTTCTACTCTCTCCACTCAACACCATGTGACTTTGGCCAAGCCACCCCATTCTTCTGCCCCTCATTTTTCATCAACATCCTGTCAACCTCTCAAGGTTTTACAGTCTTACGAAGAGCATTGTGGGGTGGGATGAATAGACTAAAAAACCTAGGTACTGTGGGAATCCATTCCTTCCCCCAGTACAGGAACAGCAGAAGTGACATTTTGTGGAAGAAGCTGAGAAAATGACCTGTGGGTGTCAGTGGGCTTCGAGGTCAGCCCTGTGAGGAGGGACAGAGTGAGCTGAAAGAGGTGTACGTGGGGACTCATCTCCTCTCTCTTTGTGTCCAAGACTTTGGTCTGACGCTGACCTTGAGTGCCCCGAGAAAAGTAACGGGCAGAAGCCTTGGGAAGAAGGGCAGGATAAGACCACACAGGTGGGTCAGAAGAATGCACACCCAAGCTTTCTGGGCTGGACACAAGAGCCAAACACCCATTGCCAGTGGACTTTTACTCTGTGCCAGGCACTTTGGATTCCACAGACCTGACCACTTCTTGAATGTGGAGAACTTTCCGGTCCAGATGAGGAAAGTGGGATTTATAGAGTAGACTGGCTTCCCAGGTCTGTGGCAGATCAGAACACGCCATGGGCTGCTGTCCCCAGAATTCCTCCTCCATACTCCTGGTCTTGGCCAAGTCACAGAGATAGAGATTCCCAAGGACGCAGCTGTCTAGGAACCGTGGAGGGGGCATAGAACCCACCTGCCCTAGGCCGCCTCTGGGCTCAGGTGTAAGGGGAAGAAGCAGATCCTCATCCTTCTGTTTATTTATTTGGAGGAGAGAGTTAGGGAACCAGATCTGGGAGTTTAGATGGTAATGTTTCCAGACCTCAGGGTCTGACTTATCACCATAGTAGTGATTACTGACTTTGTGTGGCAGAGGCTTTTCCTTGGGTTGCCTCAGTAACCCTGATAACAACCCAGAACATCCTAGGGTCCTTACTAGTAGCCCTGGCTTGACAGATCCGCCCCAGGCCTCAGGGCTACTCCAGCAGCCACCTGACTCCACAGACCACTTACCCTCTTCCTCAAGGGCAAGGCCTCTCTGGGCCTGAGGGGTTTGGGGTGGCTTCAGGCTTGGCCTGTCTACACCCTGGGCCTCACCCCTGAGTGAGAGAGACAGGTGAGCCCAGAGCCCAGATGGTCTTGCAGTACTCTGAGAGGCTCTGCAGGTGGTCCTCTCCTGCCCCTGCCCTGTTTAAGTGAAAATCAGGTTAGAGTGATAACAAATGATAGGTATCGTTACCATTTTTTATGTGCCCACTCTGGGCTGGGTGCTTCTAGCTGCTTGTGTCTGTTACCTTATTTAATTCTCACAAGTCTGTGAGCAAGAACTTCAACATTATACCATTGTCCCATCGCATAGATGAGAAAACTGAGGCTGGAAGCTAAGTAACCTGGGTCTGCAGGGTTGCTAAATGCCGGAATTGACCTCCCCCTCCTGGCCCAGGCACTCTCTCTTTCTCTCTCTCTCTCTCTCTCTGTCTCTCTCTCTCTTTCTCTGTCTCTCTCTTCCTCTCTCTCCCTCTCCGGGCATAGAACCCATCCTCATGCTTTTAACCACCACATCCAGCCCTGCCCTGCCAGCTGTTCCCGTGGCCCTGAACTCAGTCACCAGAGAGGAAAGCCAAGTGAGTGTTGAGGACAGACAACTCGGCACGGCACCATCCAGTAACTCACAGTGCTGAGTTATTATCCCCTCCCCTCCAAACTCTGCCTCCTTCCTGCTGTCCAGGTCCAACCAGTTGTGCCCAAGAACCCAAGGCCTGGCTCACATTCAGCTCTGCCATTTCCAGGCTGCTTAGCTTCTCTACAGCTGTTTCTTCCTCCTCAAGACAGACCTAATGGGAGGAGTAAGCACTAGAATCCCATGTCTGGCACATAAGGAAGCCCTCAAGGAATGGTGGTCACTTCAGGTACCATGTGTCTGGGGACTGTCCTCCCCAGCACTGTGTCCCTGCTTTGTCACCAACCTCATTCCTCCCATTCTCCATCCCTGCCTTGGTAGGGCGGGTGGGAATTTCCAAAGCCTTCCCATTCAACACTTGGGAGGGTGACTGGGATCAGAACAGAGCAAAGACCCCTTCCCTGACAATTCTGTCCTAACCAGGCTGGCTGAACAAAGACATCTGGGATCTGGCTGAGCATCCCAAAGGGCGAGGGCACAAGGATTTCCAGGACACTCCATTTAAAGGTTTCAGCTCGGATCTGGACATCCTGATGGTAATTAGTGAGGGCCTCTAGGGACCGGGGCTCAGCACCATGGGCCAGTGTTGGGGCTAATGAGGCTGCAGCTATGGGATTGATTTCTTCAGACTGGCCGCCTTCCCTAGACATGCCTGCCGCCCTGACCTGAGCTCCTACCCACACACTGCCAAGTGTGACATTCCACCCTCTGAGACACCAATTTAACCCTCATTTCTGTCCCCATCATTGAAGCACCTGTTCCCCTTGGGGGGATTCTCCCCTTTCCTTTCTACCAAGCTTTGATTAGATTTGCTGCAACCCGGCTGCTTTGAACCTCTATACCTTTGCACATGGAGTGCCTCTGCCTGGGCCATGCTTTAAATGAGCATCTCACCATCCTTCAGAACCAGATTGCTGGATCACCTCCACCCTAAAGACTTCTGTGGGCTCCAGCCAGAAGTAGCCTCCCTCTGCAGGTCCCTGTTCTGTTCATCTCGTCTATCACAAAGTACTCCAGTGAGTTTTTCTAATGCTACCTGACCGGGCTAGTGTAAGGGCCCACACACGGGGCGGGGGGGTGTCTCCACCCCCTGCCCCACCACTACGTGCACACTCAGACACCAGCACACTTGGTCCTCCACAGAGCCAGGCACATGATATTACAGGTACTTGCTGATGCCCTAGGCAAGGAATAAAGCAAACCCCTTCCAAAGAGCCTGTCCAGTGCCCCCCACTCTGCAAGTTCCAGGAGGCCGGAGGTTCCACCTACACACAGGACAAGACTCCTCGGTTCCGTTGAGGAAGTTCCTACGATTAGGATCTGAGACAAGCCAGGCTCCCAAGGGAAGCAGAGGCCCGCCTGGCACAAGCAGCTGGTGAGGGGGAGGATGGAGGGACCTGCCAGGCCTTCCCAGCTGGACCAGGGGCTATTTATACCCAGATCCAGCCTTTGCTCTGCCCTGCCCTGCTATCTTCCCTATAGGGATAGCTCATCCTCCATCCCAACAGATAAAGGAGAGGCCTGTTCTACAAAAACTTAAACACAGCACTGCCATAGAATCCAGCAATTGCACCCTAGCTTTATGCCGCAAATAACTGAAGATGGTGCCCCACTAGACACCTGTACACCGGCGTTCACAGTAGCAGACTCACTGTCACCCAAATGTGGAAACATCCAGCCTCCATCAACAACAGATGGATGAAAAGGTGGCTTATGCATGTAATGGGATAGTATTCAGTCATGAAAAGGAACAAAGTTCTGACACATTACAACACAAATGAACCTTGATAACATGCTAGCTGGAATAAGCCAGACACAAAAGAATAAATATTGCACGATTCCACTTACATGAAATATTTAGAATATTTAGAATATTTCACGTAAACTCAGAGACAGGAGTAGAGTAGAAGTTACCAGGGGCTAAAGAGAGGGGGAGAGTATAGTTTTTGTTTAGGGATGATTAAAAGAAAGTTCAGGAAATAGATAGTGGTGATGGTTGCACAAAACAGAATGCACTTTAATGTCACTGAATTGTGGCATTAAAAATGACTAAAATGAGTCAGGCATGGTGGCACACAGCTGTAATTCCAGCTACTCAGGGGGAAGAGGCAGGAGGATCATGAGTTGGAGGCCAGCCCAAGACAAGTTAGCAAGACTCTATTTCAAAATCAAAGACTGGGATGTGTAGTTCAGTGGCACAGTGCTTGCCTAGCATGTGCAAGGCCCTGCGTTCAATCCCTGGCACCAGGGGGAAAAGAAAAAAACAAGGTTAAAATGACAAAAAAAGGGGGGGGAGGGTATCAAGGGATCCCCACCCCTTGAGATTCCTCTCAGCCTCCATCTAGGGCCCCTCTGCAGGATGCAATTGGTTTTTTTGTTTGTGTGTTTCTGGCAGTCTTAGGGGTTGAACTCAGGGTGTGTGCTTGTTAGACAGTCACTTTAACATGCTGCCAGCCTTTGCTGGCACTAGTTTAAGCCACAAGTTTAATCCACTCCCTT